TTTTCTACGACCTTCTGGAGCCGAGATAATTTTTTTATTTAAAAAAAATTTTGAAGACGCAATTAACATTTTTTACAGCGATGCGCTTGATGGAGGTTAATATTGAATATTTATATTTTCAAAAAAAAAAAATAGTAGGATATGTTTACTTGATTTTTAGTATTAGTAATTGAGTAAAAAATATAATTTATTTTCTTTTTATTACTGTACAGGCATTTTGCTTCGAAAACCACCTAATAATTTAGGGTTTTCTTTTTATCCTTTAATTTTTGTGACTAGTGTTTTAAAATTTGTGATAAGGTAAAAAGAAAAACTAAATAACGTTGACAAACAAAAAGGTGATATACTGGGTGTTATTATTTGATTTAAATTTAATAAATTTATTAATAAAGCTATTGTAGATTGTATATAAATTATCTGTATTTGGCTTTGTTTATGGATTTATTGTGACTTTATACATAGCATGCCTTTTCTGATAATCAAATAAATTATAAAAAATCTGAATCGATTCATTATGCTATCAGTACTATAGCTGATTCATTTATTGTAATAACCCCTTAAAATTAATACCTGATTTTTAAAAGTACGCTGTATATGCAATTTTTTCAGCGACACGCCACTTCACACCTCCGATATTGTACCATTCGAGGAGAGTGACTGTAAAAATGAAGAAGAGGATGGATGTAAAGATGAGAATGGATCAGAAGTGATAACCAAGCAGGAGCACAAAGTATTGTACAAATGTGAGATCCCTTTTACGGCACACTGTGCGAGACGTGAGACAGATTTGGAAGTTTATAAATGTGAATCGTGTGACTACGAAACTGAAAACAGAAAATTACTTCAGAAACACCTGTCGAGGCATAAAGATCCTTCACAGGTCCATGTGTACAGGTGTGACGACTGCGACTACAAAACTAGACACAACAGTCACTTCAAACAGCATCAACTGAAACATAAAGATCCTTCGCAGGTTCAAACGTACAGGTGCCACGATTGCAATTATGAAACTATTCGCAACAGTCATTTCAAACAGCATCAACTGAAACATAAAGACTCTTCGCAGGTTCAAATGTATAGGTGTAAGGACTGCGATTTCGAAACTAAATACAGGAGATGTGTCGAAAAGCATCAACTGAAACATAAAGATCCTTCGCAAGTTCAAATGTACAGGTGTAACAACTGCGATTTCGTAACTAAATACAATGATAATTTCAAAAAGCATCAACTGAAACATAAAGATCCTTCAGAGGTTCAAATGTACAGGTGTCATGATTGCGATTATGAAAATAAATATAAGCATAATATCAAACGGCACCAAAAGAAACATAAAGACCCTTCACAGCTTCAAATGTACAGGTGTAACGACTGCGATTTCGAAACTAAATACAACGATAATTTCAAAAAGCATCAACTGAAACATAAAGATGCTTCAGAGGTTCAAATGTACAAGTGTCATGATTGCGATTATGAAACTAAATTCAAGAGTTATTTCGAACAGCATCAACTGAAACATAAAGATCCTTCGCAGGTTCAAATGTACGGGTGTGACGACTGCGATTACAAAACTAGATACAACAATCATTTCAAACAGCATCTACTGAAACATAAAGATCCTTCCCAAGTACAAATGTACAGGTGTAACGACTGCGATTTTGAAACTAAATACAAGAATAATATTAAACTTCATCAAAACAAACATAAAAATCTCTCACAGGTTCAAATGTACAGGTGTAACGACTGTGATTATGAAACTAAATACAAGTTTCATATGAAACGGCACCAACTGAAGCATAAAGATCCTTCGCAAGTTCAAATGTAAAGGTGCAATGATTGCGATTACAAAACTATAGTTAGGAGTTATTTCGAAAAGCACCAACTTAAACATAAAGATCCCTCACAGGTTCAAATGTACGAGTGTAACAACTGCAATTACAAAACTAAATACAAGAGTGCTATCAAACGACACCAAATGAAACATAAAGATCCTTCTACGTCCAAATGTACAGATTTAAGTACTGGGATTTCGAAACTAAATACAGGAGCAGTATTGGACGTCACATGTTGAATGTATAAATGCAAAGGTTCCTGTGTGCGTTGCTAACAACCGAGCATTAGGAGTCTTTGAGGCGATCTCAATTGATGCACAGAAAAAGGTTGACAGGTGTGAATTATCACCCTTCCAAATGGAGGCTTTTAAGAGCGACAAGTGTTGATATGACTCCGATCGTGAATATGTGAATAGGAAGAAAACGTAACGCCTGCCTTGAAATCCATTGGTTGAAACACGAAAACCTGACCGAAACGGAGGCCTACAAGTGATCTTGTACTAGCATTTGAAGAATTTGCTAGTACCTAGTTATATCCACACTTTTTCTGTTTCTCACAATGCGACAGTCTGCTGATTGACAAACGGTTCATAACTCCGACAAGTTATATGTTAAACGTGTACATTAATTTTAGACCGCGATATTGTCGACCGTGTAAAACATGTAATTAATAGAAAGGTCTCATGTAAAATAAATGTACGTGATTTTTTTAATAGAAGGCTATTGAGAACTGTTGATTTCATTATTGTCCCAATTTTAATCTCTCGGAAACCAGACGCCTGTAATTGATCTATTTTCATAATAATTTGTAAAAGCGATAGAGCTTTTCATTCGTACATTTCCTTCCTACTAAATATAAAACAAATGACTTTCATAGTTAAAAAAAAAAATTAAAATAAAAATAAAAATTTTTTTCAAGAGTTTATCTTTAAAAGGAGACCTTTGGAAGAAAAAGTGTATACTTCAAAATAACATTATTTTGACGAGATCTATCGATGATTAAAGTCCTAATCACAAAAAGTGAATCACCCTGTATATGTATAATTACGTTCTCACTCACCTGGAAAGTAAAATGTCCCACCGAAACGACCTGTCTTTTTGTAAATATCTATTTTTGGTCACAAATATTATCCTGTAAAAATTTCAAAGTGCCTCAAGAATATTTTTTACAAAAAAAAATGTGTTTTAAAAACTTAATGGTCGCTTAAGCACCGCAACCCTTCAGCCAGATCTGCATTTTCGTATTCAGGTATAACTAGAAGTTGTAAACAGTTTTTCACAGTGCCTCAAATATCTGCCCNGGAGGCTTTTAAGAGCGACAAGTGTTGATATGACTCCGATCGTGAATATGTGAATAGGAAGAAAACGTAACGCCTGCCTTGAAATCCGTTGGTTGAAACACGAAAACCTGACCGAAACGGAGGCCTACAAGTGATCTTGTACTAGCATTTGAAGAATTTGCTAGTACCTAGTTATATCCACCCTTTTTCTGTTTCTCACAATGCGACAGTCTGCTGATTGACAAACGGTTCATAACTCCGATAAGTTATATGTTAAACGTGTACATTAATTTTAGACCGCGATATTGTCAACCGTGTAAAACATGTAATTAATAGAAAGGTCTCATGTAAAATAAATGTACGTGATTTTTTTAATAGAAAGCTATTGAGAACTGCTGATTTCATTCTTGTCCCAATTTTAATCTCTCAGAAACCAGACGCCTGTGATTGATCTATTTTCACAATAATTTGTAAAAGCGATAGAGCTTTTCATTCGTACACTTCCTACTAAATATAAAACAAATGACTTTCATAGTTAAAAAAAAAAATTTAAATAAAAATAAAAATTTTTTTCAAGAGTTTATCTTTAAAAGGAGACCTTTGGAAGAAAAAGTGTATACTTCAAAATAACATTATTTTGATGAGATCTATCGATAATTAAAGTCCTAATCACAAAAAGTGAATCACCCTGTATATGTATAATTACGTTCTCACTCACCTGGAAGGTAAAATGTCCCACCGAAACGACCTGTCATTTTGTAAATCTCTATTTTTAGTCACAAATATTATCCTGTAAAAATTTCAAAGTGCCTCAAGAATATTTTTTACAAAAAAAATTGTGTTTTAAAATCTTAGTGGTCGCTTAAGCACCGCAACCCTTCAGTCAGATCTGCATTTTCGTATTCAGGTATAACTAGAAGTTGTAAACAGTTTTTCACAGTGCCTCAAATACCTGCCCAAATATGTCTGCCAGCTCTTGGACTAAACAGTCCGACGGGCTTGGGAAAGAGTTTGGAATTACAAAGAAAAAAATTCGTACAGACATAAAACTTTTCCCCTTATTCTAGAAGGTTCAAAGGGGTTCACAGGGTCTACAACACTTAATAATTCAGTAAACATAACATTTGAAGATGAATTTCTCGAGACAAAACGTCTGAATCTGGTTCGGGCTGAGGCGGTACAGTATTGGGGGTCATGAAGGCTTGTAAAAAATGTAATAAAAACAAATGTATAAGGATAATAATTGTTTTTGAATGTCAAGTTATTACAATTTAGTATTTTTAATATTGTGAGTTTTCATTATAATTGAATACGAGTTTTTAGTATTATGTTCAATATTTCTTTTCAAAGAGTAGTACTACCTATTTAAAATGCCAGTACGGCTAAAACAACACTCATTCGTCCATAGCACTTTGTTAATAAAGTTGGGATTCGCACTTTGGTTTTGAAAACAATTGCAAAATTCAAGACTAGAAAAATCAACCGCGCCATTATTTGGCCTCAATGATTTGGGATCGAGGGGGATTATGCCTCATCTTGTGTAGGCCCGGACAGCCTTCGTAGGTGGGCCCCATCCGTCGTTTACCCCGACCGCAATTGCGGCCGGTGTAGGCGCTTTGTGGGACCCCCTTTTGTCCTGGCTAGGCCCCGCCGGCTAGGGCCCTTTCTTCTGGCGCTCCTCTTGCTTCGACGGCTCGTCTGTGTAAACCCCGGGGGTGGTGTCATATTTATGTGTGGTATGGTTGGGTAGGGTAGTGCGGCTATGCAGCCTGGGACGCGCTTTGCTAAGGTGGCCCCTAGCAAGCGCGGGAGAGGAGGGGAAAGGAAGGTATGGGGGAGGGTGTATGTGTGTGTGTCCATGGGACGGGTGGCGGAAAAATAGTCTTGAATTTGGAATCGGAATTTTCGGTAGGATTTTATGAGTTTGGTAAATGAATTGGAATATTGGTTAGTGAGCATTTTCATCAGTAGGCCTTCATGCCAAACCATATCGAATGCCTTCATTCATGTGACCGAATAGTGGAAATAAGGTCTACTCATGATCTGGAGGCGGCAATCCTCTCCCTTGAGACTGACATTAAAAACGCCCCGACTCAGACTACGACGGAGACTATTGTCCCCCGACTGACAAACCCCCGGGGCACCCTCCCCGATGACATAAAAAACTTAATACGTGACAGACGACGTGCGAAACGGCTTGCCACCCGCACCCGACTCCCCCGACACAGACATGACTTAAACGTACTTAACAGACGGGTGAAGGCGGCTCTGGATGAACTGGCCCAGGATAACTGGGCTAGGCACCTGGAGTCGCTGGATCCACAAGACAACAGCCTCTGGAAAACGCAGAGGGCCCTGCGACAGACCGCTCGCCGTAAAATTCCTCCAATCCACGGTAGTGTGGGGGTGGTTTACACGAACCAGGAAAAGGCCGAGGCTTTCGCCGATAGCCTGGAACTGCAGTGTAGACTGCCTCAGCTGCCCGACGAAGACGAGGAATTCGAGATAGTGGCTGAGCGCGCGGCCCGACGCGTCGACAGAGAGCCAGACAATGACATAATCCCCCCCGCAACACCTGACGAACTAAGACTGACAATACGCAGACTTAAAAACAGAAAAGCCCCCGGACCCGACAATATACATAACACGACACTTAAACGACTACCACACAAGGGCCTCATGGCCCTACTAAACATAACAAACGCGACACTCAGACTAAGACACTTCCCTACCCGCTGGAAAACAGCAAACATAATCCTTATCCCAAAACCCAACAAAGATCACACCATCCCATCCAACTACCGGCCCATTAGCCTGCTCCCGGCTATGAGCAAAGTGGTAGAAAAAATTATCCTAACCCGTCTAAGAACCCACTCCCAAGAACTGCAAGTCATTCCAGACGAGCAGTTCGCCTTCCGACCCAATCACTCCACTGAACTCCAAATCCTTCGCCTTACCGAGCACATCACGGCGGCCTTCAACAGGGGACAGTACACTGGTGCTGTCTTCCTGGACGTCGCAAAGGCCTTCGATACGGTTTGGCATGAAGGCCTACTGATGAAAATGCTCACCAACCAATATCCCATATCCTTTACCAAACTCATAAAATCCTACCTACACCACCGAAAATTCCGCATCCAAATCCAAGATTCCCTTTCCACCACCCGTCCCATGGAGGCCGGTGTCCCCCAGGGCACCGTCCTGTCCCCACACCTATACACCATTTACAACTCCGACATCCCACATCCCCCCAACACCAACATATACTTATACGCCGACGACCTGACAATCACATCCCAATCCGTAGATCCTAGATATTCCGTCTNACTTGGAAAAATGCAAAATTACTAGTTAATCCCATGTAAACAAACATAAATCCTTAAAGGTTAGAAATCTTGTAACGTAGTATGATATAAGCCACGCCCATTATTCGTTCATTACTCGACCGTCTTTTTTACGGACCGTGAAAAACAATTACATTTTGATATCAGAATGAAGCGAGGCGAGCGCCATCTGTTACAGAGTGTCCAAAATTGTAAACGTATTTTATTTTCTAACTGCAATCGGGTGTGTAAATAATATTCAGTTTTCCATGTCGGCGAATTCTTACGATTTTCAAATATGACGCATTTAAATATTAAACAATTTCTAGACTTGAATTTTGTTAAGTTACCTTCAGAAAACCTCAAATTTCCTAATGACATATTTTAAATAACCGTTTTGATCTAAAAAAAAAGTTTTTAGCCATAAACAGTTTCTCGAAGAAAATTTTATTTCTCGTAAACTAGCGAATATTTTCTAACCAAATTATGTCATTAGGAGCTCCAACAAATGCTAAACCCTTACAACTTTTCATTTGCAATAAATTTAGTTCCCTTAAATTTATTATCATCTTTGAAATAATTTGTTGGTGGAGCCATCTAGTTTTCCTCTTGGCCGTCTTAATAAAAAAATATAGATAGGCGTATTCACACGACCTGTGCTATGGTACGAGCCATGCCTGCCATGGGACGTCTGTCGTCGTGTGGAATGACTGAGATAGAACTGAAAGGAACGAAGGAACTGGGTCACTTCGGTCTCTCGTGTCAGTATGGAGAGCCGGATCGTCATGTTTCGCCCATCTCTATTCTTAACCTCAACCCACAACTAGAAGCCTTGTCAATGTCAATAATGCCAACTGCCAATGCCGTCATATAAGAAGCAAGAAGGTTAGAACTTTTAGAAGTGACGAGTGGCTTTGTATTTTCGTCTTTGCGTTCTATTTTCTGTTTATATTTAAAAGAAGACTGTTGCAGAACAATGACTGATGTTAAGGAAACGTCGTGTAGGCTTTGCCTTAAAAATATAACCGATGAAAGTTTTGAAGTGATAAACGACATTATCAGAAATATTCTAGATGTTCTTTTGCTGAAATTGGTAAGTCGGAGAAATATAATTAGATTGCTGTCTGAAGTTGCATATTTTCCAGAAATTTGATGATGAGAGCAAAGAGGTTATATGTAACGTTTGCAGAAGAAAGTTAAATACAGCATTAGAATTTAAGTCAACGTGTTTGAATACCGATAACACAATTATTCAATATGTGGATAGCGAAAAAATGTTACAACTCGAATTAAGAGAAGTGTACACGCAGGAAAAGAAGAATGAGTTAGTTTGCAGTCAGAAAATATGTCGATTGTGTATGCACCCGGTAGAAAGTGAGTTTAGGTGCATTTGTCAAGAGGAACTTGAAGCTATTCAGAAATTGATACCTGAAATGGTATGCACGATATTAAATACTTACATATTTTATAATTTAACGAAACTGCTTTGTAGTATGTAAATATCATCAAAGATCCCGTTGTTTGTAAGCCATGCTTTGATTCTCTATCTACTCACAACAGTTTCCTAAAAGATTGCTCAGAGGTAGAAGAAAAAATTAAAAGTATTTTTGTTAATTCAGCCACAGAAAGTCAGACAGATACGTCTCCACTCGATTCATTCGTTAAGACTGAAAACTTGGACAAAGAATTCGATATTAAAGAAATGGAAATGTCAATTAAAACTGAAAGTATCGACATAAAATCGGAAGATGAGGAAAGAAGGTAAGAGAAGACTATTGTAACATTAATTTAAAAAATGGCGACCTGCGGTTGTGACACTGTGATTTATATGATCACATGTAGATACTATCCGGTAATAAACTAATTGTACTTAACATTATGAGATTATGTCGGTTATGAACGATATTGTACAAATTTTTATGTAATCGTTAAGCGTTAGTTTAACAAATTATTGGGAAAATATGTAAGATCGTTATTAAACAATCGTATGGCTTCGAATCAGATATGGGTACAAAGAATGCTGTACTAAATTCCATTCATTCAATAAATTTTTTAACTGGGCAGAAATTGAAATTTTCTTGAATGAAAAGGATAGATCTTTTACGGAATTACAAAACAATTGGGGGTTTGTAAGCAGATTGCAAGAAGAAAATTAGTCATTCTTACCCAAAATTAGTTTTGAAAGAATTTTGGGAGAAGGTATTGATCTAATTCAAATAATAAAAATACCTTTTGAAAAAATGCTTGTCAAATCGTCAAAAAATATTTATTATTTTTTTTTAATAACAGAAAAGATCTTTGGGTTAGTTTAAAAAAATACTGTTTTTCTCAATATTTCAGCTCATGAAAATGATTTGTGAGCTATAGAACTCGATAAGTATCCGAGATTTGAGGAAGGAAATAAAAATTATTTTTTTCTGGAAGAAAAAAAAATTTCTATTGTTTTTTTTTCATGGCAATTTTTGATGAAGAGAACATACATTTTTGCGAAATAACATTTTCAATTAAAAAAAAATGATTTAAAAATGCAAAATTTATCCTTTAATTGATTTTTGACAATGAAAGAAAAATCGCACCCGTTTGAACTCTTGACAGGTTTTAATTGTCAGTGTTGCGAGAAACAACTACTCCGCGGGCCATATGCCCTGACCGGTACTTCAGCTGTTGTACGGCCGTCTCCTCACGACAAGGAAATGCATTGTACACGGAGCGTACAGGTTTTTTGGATTATTTTGTGGTTAAAAAAAAAGAAAACCTCTTCAATATCAATCTCAATTTTAACAAAAATCCTCAAATGGGCAAATTTTGGAATCAAATTTCTTGCATTGAAAGAAATAAATTTATCAAAAAACGATAAGAAGGTCTTATGGAGGATAGTCTGAACTTTTCAAATCTCTGCTTAGATTTTCGGGACGGCCACTACTTCCCAAATAATTAATTATCAAAGCCGAAACAGTTATTTTTTATTTGATTATACATAAAGGTCTTGAACAGCTCAAATTCAAAGAGGATGAATACAACTAAAAGAGACGACATGTGGGACTGCCAAAAAAAAAAAATTGAGACCTGTGGAAAGTGAGGCAAAAATTATAAAAAGGTGATAAAGGATAAAAATTTTTGACTTTCAGATCCTCAAACTAGAACCTTCAAGCTCTAATTTGCTTTTTTTATTGCTTTATGAACATTTTTCGCCATGATACAGCTTTTCGAAAATCACCTAAAAATTTAGGATTTTCTTTTTGTCCTTTAATTTCTGTGACTGGTATATTGAAATTTGTGATAAGATAAAAAACAAAAACTAAAAAACGTTGACAAACAAAAAAAGGTAATACACTGGGTGTTATTATTTGATTAAAATTTAATAAATTTATAAATAATGCTATTGTAGATTGTATTTCAATTATCTGTATCTGACTTTGTGGATTTATTGTGTGACTTTATATGTTGCATCTCACCAATGCCTTCTTTGAGAATTAAATACATTATCAAAGATCTGAAACGATTCATCGTTGATGTTAAAATTGTGCTATCAGTATTATGGTTGATTCAGTTATTGTCATAACCACTTAAAATTAATATCTGATTTTTAATACTACCCTGTATATGCAATTTTTTCAGCGACACGCCACTCCTGATCTCCGATATTGTACCATTCGAAGAGAGTGACTGTAAAAATGAAGAAGAGGATAGATGTAAACATGAGAATGGATCAGAAGTGAAAACGAGACTGGAGCGCAAAGTATTGTACAAATGTGATAAATGTATCTTCGAAACTGAAAGTGAGATGTGTTTTACGACACACTGTGCGAGACATGAGAACAATTTGAGAGCATATGAATGTGAATCGTGCGAGTACGAAACTGAAAATAAGAAATTATTTCGGAAGCACCTGTTGAAACATAAAGATTCTTGGCAAATTCAAATGTACAGGTGTAAAGATTGCAACTATGAAACTAAACTCAAAAGTTATTTCAAACGGCATCAACTAAAACATAAAGACCCTTCGCAAGTTCAAATGTACAGATGTAAGGACTGTGATCACAAAACTAAATACAATGGTCATTTCAAAGAGCATCAACTGAAACATAAAGACCCTTCACAGGTTCAGATGTACAGGTGTAACGACTGTGATTACAAAACTAGATACAGGAAATGTATCATACAGCACCAACTGAAGCATAAAAATCCTTCACAGGTTCGGATGTACAGGTGTAACGACTGTGATTTCGAAACTAAATACAACGGTCATTTCAAACAGCATCAACTGAAACATAAAGATCCTTCACAGGTTCAAATGTACAGGTGTCACGATTGCGATTATGAAACTAAATTCAAGAGTGATTTAAAAAAGCATCAACTGAAACATGAAGATACTTTGCAGGTTCAAATGTATAGGTGTAACGACTGCGATTTCGAAACTAAATACAACAGTCATTTCAAACAGCATCAACTGAAACATAAAGACCCTTCACAGGTTCCAATGTACAGGTGTCACGAATGCGATTATGAAACTAAATTCAAGAGGTATTTCAAACAGCACCAACTAAAACATAAAGATCCTTTGCAGGTTCAAATGTACAGGTGTGGCGACTGTAATTACAAAACTAAATACAAGAGTTATATCAAACGGCACCAACTACAACATAAAGACCCTTCGCAGATTCAAATGTACGGGTGTAACGACTGCGATTTCGAAACTAGATACAGGAAATGTATCATACGGCACCAACTGAAGCATAAAAATCCTTTTCAGGTCCAGACATACAAGTGTAACGACTGCCCCTTCGAAAGTAAACACAAGCATCATCTGCAGCGGCATCACATGAAAGGAATATGCTGCACAAGTTCTAAAGGTACTAGTGTAATGACTGCGATTACGAATCCAGATACAGGAGTGGTATAAAATATCAAGTGTTCAAGTACAGACAAAAATTAGGGCATTTTAGAGACTGACTATAAATATTTGAATTGAAGCAAAATGTAAACATCAACAAGTTAACATGGGCTTCTGTAACCAGGTTTATTAATACACGGGTCTCACCGTGACGGCCCATTAGAATTGTTTCAGGGACTACTTCGATTTAAATTTTGAAAATTTGGGAAACCGGTTTTCGGGCATGCCCTTCTCGACTAAAATAATGTCCACGTCAACTTGCTTATTTTAAATGGAACACCCTATATATTATTGCATTTTTGGATTCTACATGTTATTTTACGTGGACTTTTATGGAGTTTCCCTATTCCTAAAATTAACCGTTTTCGAGATATTTAATTTAAAAAAAAAAAAAAACGGAGAGAAACAGTGACTAGCTTCAGACCATGTGTTTAGGATAGTTAGGTTAAAATTATTAGTTTAGTTAGTAGTAAAATAGTTGTAACTTGTAACATTATGATTTTAATCCTTTTTCGTTTGCTATAACTTTAATTGATGCGGATAAACCACCCAAACGAATTATTTTGTCGCAACTGCGCACAACGAAGAGGGCAAAAAGACAGCAGTCGACGAGAACGTGTCGTAGTACCAGGTCTGGTGGTGTGGTGTTTTATTGTTGTTATCTTTGTTGGGAACACTATTGCTATTTTTCAAGAAGAATCGTTGTTGACCCCCAAATTAAAGACGATTGAAGCCAGTGGTAAGTTGCGGCATTATTCTTGTTTGTTCGGATGTTCGCCTAAGACTTTCACGGAAATACAGTCTATATCAAAATCGCACAGATATATTCTTTTAATTTCGAATTATACAGGGTGTTTGGAAATAGTGGTACAATCCAGACGCGTAGACACGTTTGAAGATGACTTTAAATATAAAGGGTTCTTACCAATAACTTTTATCTGCTTTGAAGGAGTTTTGGGTGATAAGTTAGTACTAAGAAACATGATTATTTGCGGGTATTAATCGATCAAGATTATAACCCGTGGCATGCAAACCAGGGGAGGGGGGTATGACCACATTTTTATCAAAAAAAAAAAATGTTCAGTTAATTTCTAGAAATTTTTGTACTAACAAATAATTATTTGCACTTTTTTACACAAAAAAGTACTCTTATTAAAATGCTTGAAAGTTAACCATTTTAGAGAAAATTGAGTTTAAAAGCATGAATAGTATTGAATGTTTAATTCTGGCTTTTCTCTAAAATGGTTATACCTTACAAATAATCATGTTTCTTACTAGTAACTTATCACCTAAAACTTACCCCTCTACTTCAAAGCAGTTAAACGTTACTTTCAAAAAGTCATCTTCAAAGATTCAAATGTGTCTACCTCCTGTAAGGTGGATTTGCGGATCCATTTTATATGAAATATTTGCCTTATTTTGAGTCGAGAAATCTACCCTGTATATACACCATGTGTATTTTATGGTAAGAAAGATAAAGCAACAATATTTTTAGGGGGATAGCTAGAACCCTAAGCTTCCCATCCATACTTTCAAAGTGGCTCAATTGCATACAGGGTGCTGGAAATTTAGTGCCGAGTTCAGTTAACTTCAAACCTTCATAAGTCGTTTTTTTTTAAAAGGAAAAACCCGGAAGGTTTTCCAAAATCCGAAAAAACAAATTAATTCCCTTCCAACCGGAACAAGGGTCCCCAAAACCAACCGCGGGGGGCCAACCAACCCCCCTAAAAATATTGTTGCTTTATCTTTCTTACTATAAAATACACATGGTTTGAAGCTAGTCACTGTTCCTCTCCATTTTTTTTTTAAATTAAATATCTCGAATACGGTTAATTTCAGGAATAGGGAAACTTCATAAAAGTCCAACTAAAATAACAAGTAGAATTATAAATTGCTATAATAGATAGTGGTACGTGGGCGCCATTATTTTAGTTCAGAAGGGCATGCCCGAAAACCCGGGATCCCAAATTTTCAAAATTCAAATCGCAGTAGTCTCTGAAATAATTCTAATGGGCCGTCACCGTGAAACACCCCGTATACACACACTGTAATATGAACCTGTTTTATCCATGTCCAAAAATATATTTTATTTTATTACCAATATTCAGGGTGAATCCTAATCGTGTATATCAGAATGTGTTTCAAATAATGATACAATTTACTTTGTAGAATATACAGGGTGTTACAAATTTGCTTCTCACTTGGGATCTTGGAGAAGATAAGAGATACAAACTAGCTTAAATGGGGGCAAAGTTGCGTAATCAGGGGACCAACATTATGCCTCTAAAAAATCAAGGGTAATATGATTAATTTTTGAAATAATTGAAAAAAAAAACAAAATTTTGGAAATCTGATTTCATTTCAGTCTCGTTCGAGGTGATATGGAAAAAGAAGGACCCTTTTTGCCCTCTATCGAATGGCATAGTCAATTTTAATATGTAACGTTTCATCTTTCTTGGATTGTCACACAATGTAAGTGTCGTTAGAGCCTGTGAGATCCACCAAGTTACTTAAACTATTAGCCCCATCTAAATAAAAAATTTAAATGAAAGAACGAATATACTGAAGATGAATTTTTCGAGACAAAACGTCGGAATCTGGTTCGGGCTGAGGCAGTACAGTATTGGGGGTCATGAAGCCTTGTAAATAATTTAATAAAATTTCCAGAGCCGTATTTAAAAAATTAAGTTGATGATGGTCCTGGAGAGATGAAACGTCACATATAAAAATTGATTATGCCATTCGATAGAGAGCAAAAAGTTGCCTTCTTCTTTTTTCAATATCACCTCGGACGGGGCTGAAATGAGACAAAATCGAATTTCCAAAATTTCGTTTTTCTTCAAATATTTCGATCCCCTGATTACGTAACTTTGCCCATTTAAGCTAGTTCGTATCTCTTACCGTTTCCGAGATCAGTGTAGTGGGAAGCGAATTTGTAACAGCCTGTATAATTAATAGTTTTTTTTTTATAATAATGATTTAATTTATTCACACAAATAATTTACACATACATAATAAAAACACAGCAGCAAGAATGACAGTGAATAAATAAGCAGGCAATAAGTGATTAAACACTTGTTTTGCACAACAAAAGCAACAATAAAATATAAACAACTTAGTAAATAAAAACGAAATTGAATACAAATCCACAACAAAAGTTAACTAAAAACCTAGTACAAACAAAGCATCAAAAGACACTAAATATATAAAATCGCACACACACAATTTTGCAACAACATTAGGAATAAAAGAACTAAAGGAAAATGGATGTGCATTATTTTTTTATAGAGGGAACTATTGAGTACTGCTGTGGTATTTACACATTGAAAGTTAAAAGGTGATTCAGTCATAATATCATTCATTGTAAGGAAAGACAAGAAAAAATAAGTAGAATATGAAAACACAATTAAAAACATTTTAAAATGCATATTAGGATACTCTTACATTTTAAATATTAACAAGTATTTATTTGTTAAAAACAAATGTATAAGGATAATGCTTATTTTCCAATGTCAGGTTATTACAATTTAGTATATTTTAATATTGTTAACGTTTTCACTATATTTTATAATTATATAATATNCTCCTTACGCATACTGTCCACGGAGGAAACTAGATAATAATAATAATTTAATTTATTCACACAAATAATTTTACACATAATAAAACACAGCAGCAAGAATGACAGTGAATAAATAAGCAGGCAATAAGTGATTAAACACTTGTTTTGCACAACAAAAGCAACAATAAAATATAAACAACTTGGTAAATAAAAACGAAAATGAATACAAATCCACAACAAAAGTTAACTAAAAACCTAGTACAAACGAAGCATCAAAAGACAGTATTATTTATTATTATTTTATAGAGGCAACTATTGAGTACTGCTGTGGTATTTACACATTGAAAGTTAAAGGGTGATTCAGTCATAATGTCATTAATTGTAAGGAAAGACGAGAAAAAATAAGTAGAATATGAAAACACAATTAAAAACATTTTAAAATGCATATTTATGCTGAAAAGAATACTTTCAAATAATTATTTAACTCCTTTTCGAACGGCTTCTGATCGCTGACCCACAAAGGTTTATCGAGAGTGAATCTTGACCCGCCACAATATTGGGTCCCTTGG